TAGTCATGGTTGTAAATTAGCAGATTTTCTGGGTCTCTCATTGTGTGTTGACTGTACTCTGAATGGCGACCTTATGTTTCGTCAGAAGTTCATTAATTGAACTTTGCTTTAAAACACACGAGCTCTGGTCAATGTATTCCCCTATATATATTAGATTGTGACTAGAAATTGCCGATATATTTACCCAGTAGAATAACCAGTATTTTTTTATTAATATTATAGCTAGATATTCGGTCAACATATGACAATTGAAGTACAAAACAACAGAAGTCTCTGTTCTGCTTCAAGTTAACGCCCTTCCCAGGATGCAACAGACAATTGTAATGTACAATTCATTGAGTTTTCACAATAGGTAGTTTGTTGTTCTTATTTTGTTGTTTGATACAATCACAGTCCCTCTATCATAAAGGGACTGTGGTACAATGTACTGTCTGACCTATTTTATCGGACGCCTTAATGTACAAAGACACTGTACAGGATATACACCCGGCAATAATAAAAAAAAGCACTATATAATCGACAAACCCAAATTATTACCCACCAGCCTTATACAGTGTCACGTAATCTCCCGAATCTCGCATCACTGGCACGGGGGCGTGAATAGACTTGTCATTGAGATATAACATGCACTTGATCATACCCTCGACCACGCGTGGTTGCTTCGATTTTTTCAAACACAATATCTTCAAAACAAATTCGGCGTTTTTCCCGGTTGTACATTTTGCAACTACGTAAAAATTCTGATCGACACAGCTGACAAGCTCTTCCAGACGCTCTACTTTCACACTGTAGTTGCTTTCAACAAGAGTTTGAACTTCCTTCTCATGTATATCTGGCGTTCCATAATCTTCATACGTGACAATGCCAACTTCAGAAGCGCCGGCAAGAAGACCATCATTCCAGATCGAATTCTCATTCGCCATCACAAGCAGTCAGAAATACCAAGAATTGTAACAATTAATGTTATTGTTAACCATGCATAAGACGTTAACCAATAAGGGCCCGAAGCATGACGCCACTACAGTATACAGTGACGTAGAATTCTATAAATAGTAATAACTCATTATAATAAAGTAATTAAGTTTAATTGTCAACCTGTAGAGGTGTATTGTAAATACATGGTCATGCACATCAATTGTAGTTCAAGTTGTGTTATGCTTTATTTTACAAATTGAAAGATCTCAAAGGAAGTCTTCTTGTTATATTGAAAGCAGTATCCCATTCAATGTAAACAAATACTGTCGTGTGCTAACTCATCAGCCAGTCAATTATTTGTTTTTTTTCATTTTCCTAAACTATTTTTGATAAGTGCGTTATTAGAACCATTTGTTTTGATAATTGTGGCCATACTGTACAGCGCCCTCTTTATGGTCTATAGTATTGTACGGGGCATTTGTAAACAGTGAGTGGGCGAAACGAACAAAAGGTTATCCCTTGAATGACGACTACAATATGGCTGCTGTGTTTAGTGCTGTATAGTCCTGTGTGTTTTGCAAACGTAAGTACTTATAGTGAGACGTGCAAAATTGGATCATATGGGAGTCACGTGCATGACACGCAGTAGCCCTATGCGTATAGTGCTTTGGTATTAATTGGGAAGATCCATACACACGCACTATCAGAGATTATTACTGGAACCAGCGCAACCAAAACGGGTGCGACACTCCTAAAACAATCCACATCTTTGGGCTTAAATGAAATGTAACCAATTGATATATTCACTGCCAATATCTTTACGTGACATTTCCCGTCAAATACAAAGATATAAACGACCAGATTCGTACTGTTCTCCGATTGTTGATATTTCCGTTACTACAAGCCACCATGTTAAATCACGCGTTATTTATATTTGCAGTGTAGTTTTCACTGTGTTGACACTATTACAAGGAAGAAGGAAGAAAGAAAGAATGTTTATTAAAATTTGACATAGCATGTTCCGAATCATATATGTACATTTATTTCACTTCCGATATACACCATGCATGTTTAATATCTTCTAAATATAGCATCATGTCTTCTAAAAATAGCATCAAAATGTGCACTGCATCTCATGATTTTATTTCTTATTTTTGATAATACACTAGTTACTAGTAGCTTCGCGATGAGTGGCTTTTTTGATAAAGTGGATTTTGTAGCGCATAGCTTTCGCGGGGAGTAGGTTCTTGTCGCAGGAACTGGTCCTTTCATCGTTGTTGAGAATTACAGTCTTATGTGTACTGGTGCTATCCTGGAAATACCATTCTTAGGAGCTGTTAATTTACCCTTATGATTTGTGCAGTTGCTCTTGCAGGAGTTCCTAAATAAAACCCATACTCTGATATGGCTCCTAGTTTCTTAGACCAAGACACTTTTGGCCATTTTATTTATGGAACGGGCTTTGCATCATGCATTTTTGTTATACTGCTTAGTGACATACTGTAAGTAATGATCTTTTTGTTGTCGCATAAAGACAGTTGAATATTGTTTATTAAAATTATCATTACTAATGTATTGCTTCCCACGCTTCGTCTACAGGATGATCTCTGGATGACTGCAATATAGAACAGTAACATTTTTCATTGTCTGTAACGAAAATCAGTTGCCTGTCTGGGAGAAAAAGAGACAGAATAAGGTTGGGGACATTGGAGGTATTTTCTGGTACGTTTTATATTTTTAGGCATCGTGTGAAAATGTTTGCGTAATTAGACATCAAAAGTAACGAATACAAAACAATGTCGCCGTTCCCACGCGACCATTCAATCGTTCATTAATCAACCGGTCGTCGTCACGTGGCTATATTCCAGTCACGACACGAGCACGTGTTAATCCATATAAATATTAAAAAGTGGGCGTCAAAACAAAACTGACTGGTAACCGAGTAGTTTGCGTGTTGGGCTCACCGTCGACTGGAAATATGCAAATAACCGTAAAGATTCCCCCTAGCAATTCGATGAAACGAAACGTCCAAAATTAAAAATAGGATTTTGATTTTCGTCGTTCATTTCAATATCCTTTTGTTGAAAACTAAATATCGCCACCACGGGAAAAACTTCGAGAATCAAAGCTAAAATAAAAATTGTGATTACTTACCGCCAGTTTATCAATTGAAATTACGTCGAAAACATAAATTTTAGCAGCCAGAAAATATTAGAAATTCACTTGGCTCTCATTGGCCAAGGACCCATTCACTATTATTGTATAAATTATTAACAATTGGTATCCATGGTAACATGTTTTGCATCTTGCGAATCTTGTCAAAATGCCTTAAGCAGCGATAGCGCGAGAAGGCCAACTATGGCTGACATTTACGAAATGCATTCTCTGTCATATTAAGGTAGAAGCCTACTCATAATTTTTCAGAAAAATCGCATGCCAATGTTTGTTGGTATATTATGTAAAATCATGGAGCTATTATCCAATGGCATCGTGAAATGACATTCTTTTGTGTGTATTTTAAAAAACTTATTATTAATCTTATTATTTTCTTTAAAAAACGCTATTTTTAGAACAATTCAATAGAGCAAAGTGTTAAAGAAAAATTGCATTTTTGAATTAATTGAAGGCAAATACCCCATCATTCACAATACCTACAAATTGAGACATGGCATAATATCTCTGCCATAGGAACCTATGGTAACAGTGTTATTATACAGACAAAATGGTCAATATCCACTAAAATTCAACCATTATTTTCTCCAAAATATTAGGCTGGTGACCCCATCTTTTTATTTATTCCTTATATTGCCTAGAAGTACAATTTATTGGAACATGAATACATTTGAGTATCTAACCAAACCAGTCTCCATTGCTCAAACCCAAACCACATAGACAGTAACATTGATATAAACATTAAAACAAGATGGGTATCTGCCAAGAATCATAATTCAAATTAATAGAAAAAAAGAAATAATTTGAAATTATATAATAGATCATACTAAGTATAAGTTTTTCCATGAGGTGATACAGTATTCAACAGAAAAAACGTTCTAATAACATTAAGATCATGTAAGCATACTACTACTAACATAGCTCTAATTTCTATTCGCAGGAGGAAGAAAACCGATTCTATCATGGCAGCAGAGATACCACAATCAAGACAGTCAACTGACAGTGTTTACGGTAAACCGACACTGACATTAGGAACCGCCAAGGAAATTGTTAACACACGTTATTGTTTAGAGATTGACGTCATAAAAGAACTGTCAGGTTCCGTTGACCAGAATTTCTATGTATCATCTAGTGTTGGAGCACAGACTACAGAGTTTGTTCTAAAAATAATAAATTTAAAAGAATCTAAGTGTGAAGAGTTACTGATGGGACGTATTGAAATAATGTGTTGCCTAAATAATGACAATATCAATTGCCCTGTGCCTGTCAAGCTCTCTGATGGTAATTACATCACGTGGTATGGCACGAAAGGTGAGATTATTTTTGAAATATAAATACATCATATAGCATATACATTATATCGTCTATTGTAACAATTAAGTATGTTTATTAATAGTAAAAGTAAAAAAGTTTACACTGAGAAATACAAAAAAATTGTATATCAAAATAAACTGTTCACAGAGAGTGGTCAACATGCTGTCTACCTTCAGACGTTCGTACATGGAACACCATTCGCAGACATAGAAATAACACCTACATCAGATCTGTATTACTCGGCTGGGAAGTATCTGGGAAATGTGGATGTGGTTCTTAAGGTATTTTACATTGATAATCATGATTATGGTGTCAGGGGAACGGATTTATCAATCATTATAGGAATGTCGAAATGTAAGGAAGTCTACAATGTATCATTTTATAATGTGAGTTGACTGTCAAAATTTGATTACAGTGACATATTATCTATTTTATACAGAATGTACTGATATATGATTTTTTGCAGAAATTTCATCATATTGGTTTTGAAAATGACGATTCTATTTGGAAGCCACACTGCATGAATGCCATTCAAGAATTGATGCATATAATTGAGCTAGAAGAACGGAAGACAATGGTTGAATGTGTTATACGCATGTTCAACAGTAAAGTGTCACCACATCTAAAGAAGTTGAAGAAAGGTATACAAAGCTGTTGAGTACATTCACATCCCATATACATCTAACGAAAAGTTGCTAAAAATTGTGATTATCAAATATGAAAGCGGATACATGATCAACAAATAATCTCTCAATTCTGAAAAAATACAGTCATAACGAAAACATATAGCATTGACATATAGGGATTTCACATTAAGGTGTTGTAGAATCACCAAACAAATACCATCACCGACCTTGTGGTTGGGTTCTTTACCCCAAAATACACAATATAAATAATGTATAGGTATATTGGTATATATATATTCATACATCGTAAAACCAGGGCACTTCGGGAGAGAACATGCACACCTGTAACAAACTTGCACGCACTTCAAGTTCATAACAGATTAAAGCAATGAATACATTAATAATTAACTGCAAATAACCATGGTTAATGCTCCAAACAACGCGTAAATACAAGTAAATAATGTTTACACTGTCACTTGTAGATTGTTTACATCAATTCTTGAAAATAGTATGATACAAGTGCAAATTACGACAGTTTGAACAACAGATGTTTCATTTTCACGAAAACAGACAGAACATAGTCACCGTGTAAGGCCTGCTTGTTGCTATTGAGACCCACAGAACCCAAACTGGACAGGGGGTTCTTTTTCTGCTAGAATGGGATAGACAAGACAATAGTACTGAAATGAAATACACATACACCAAAGTTAAAGCTCCTGGCTTTAATACCTCTCAAAATAATCACAAGAAACAAGGCACAGAATAATACAATGAATAAATTCAATAAAATAAGGGATTGACCAGGGAAGTGTGCATTGGTGATAACTCACAGTTCCAGGATGTTGAAATTGATGATACCTTGCAGTCATAGATCTCTCTGTCAGCAAATGATTAAATGGCACAAAGTCCCTCTTAAATTAAAATCAAAACCTGTAATTAAAAGAAACTAGATACAGAACCCCGCAGAAAAACGTGGTATTTCAGATATATATATACACTTGTTCATAAACCACCTAATAAATCTTGATGGGAAATCTCCTACCTCCGCGGCTGTAACCCAAACTTGGGTTCAAAATTGGATAACAAAACCATATTTTAATTATCTGAATATTGATATATGTAAAATTGGAAAAATACATCATCATACATCAACAACTCCAAATATTAAATATGTATACCTAGGTCCAAATATAATCAATTGGAGGTCAATCCCACGTGTAGATTATGTAATACTGATCCTGAAGATTGTATTGCACTGTCTGCATATCCAAGATATATTTCCAAAATAAATAATATATGGGTGGCGTCTCAAATTATTATGAATTTGTCTTACTCTAATATCCCCACAATATATAAATGCAGACCACATTTCGATTATCGAGACAATTGTCTATTTCGACAGCAACAACACGAGTAAATTCCAAATAAATGCATTTTAAATATGCATGGACGAACTGCAGACACTGGGTTAACAAAACTTACACTAATTCAAAAATATGTTTTGGGTATGACTCTGTACACTGTGAAGCAATGTCACAATACAACATAATACACAGACAGAGAAAACCAGAAATATGTACCTTAGTTTATAAATATAACCATAAATGAATAAAAAGTAATCACTTTCCTCTTTATATTGCAGGCGTAATACATGGAGATTATGACCCTAACAATGTAATAGTTTCCATGCTTCCGCATGAGGGTGAAGATGTCAGACCAGAAGTCTGTGGCATTATTGATTTTAGTGATGCTCGTTATTCGTACTATGTGTTTGAGCTTGCAATTTGTATAGCAGATTTCCTAATGTTCAGCAAAGATGCCAACCATTCGTTGATTAGCACAAGACTTTCAGAAGGATACCAATCAAAGTTCCAGCTGAATGAACTTGAAAAAAGTCTTCTTCCAATATGCATTGCTAGTCGTCTCTGTCAGGTAGCTGTGTTAGGCACGAATGAATTAAAAGTACAACGATACAATAACTACATCGACAACTTTGTGTCAAAGGCTTGGAATTGTTTACATAGCACATTGGCGAATCTTAGTAAAATTATAGAACTTTAATTTTAATCAATTGAGTTAAACATGAGGAAAAGAAGTTTGATATTGCCTTTGAGTGCGAGAACTTCAAGGCTGTCTGCCCAGTGTAAACTCGCTTGGGCACAAAAGTATAACAATGTATAGACATGGGTTTGTTGTCACTATTCAGTATCGTATACATAACAGCAACCAAATTATATTTTTCCATGTTAAACATACATTAATATGATTATAGTGTGTAATTGTGTATTATAATGTGTAACAGTAACCACTACTTGTAAGCGCACTACAAAGTGTGCAATTATAACAAACTGGTTAAATTTCTGGTGTAAATGCTCATTAATAAATAAATATACATACATACAGTAACATTAAATGCGTGATCCAACCTTATTTATATTTCAACCTGCTAAGGTCAAAGCAGTGTGTTTGAACCCTATATCCAGCCAACACTTTCAATTGTAGGAAAATGCAGGTAATTATTGGGTCCCCAACAATAAGGGCTTCTGTACAACTACTGTGTTTAAATCATATCACTGATAAGTTTAATAGCACCCAAATAAGGATTCATCAACTCCAGTTATAGGACATGTCTGCGAATTAGTAGAATGTTCTCTTTATATCACGAAATGACGTAATCTTTTAGAGGTCCTTATATTAAAACAAGTATGTAGACTGATACATTATAATCTCTGGTTCAAAACTATTTCCATCCAGAATTACTACGAAGGATATTTTAGAGGCACGTTTCTACGTTTTAGCACAGATTTCTGTTCGATGTAACTTTCAAGCTTTTATTTTAAATCGCGAAGTTTTGTAATTATCAGGATATTTTAAATTCTTTTTGCATTCCGGCATACAGTTTGAAAGATTTCACTGATTTCACTGAGCAGTGCATAACACTATACACATTAATAATTTCCCAAAACTCAGGAAAGCTATTTTCAAAGACTTATAGCATAAACAAATGTTAACAGAGGTATAAAAAGCATAGAGTGATATTTACAAGGTTCAATCATTTTAACTGACACGAATACAGTATATTATATATCAAATTGAGGATATGCACCAAGGGATTTTGTTATTATTGTATCTAGCCAAGTGATAAATGTAATTAAAATACATTGAGATTAGAAATGCAGACATATATAACATTGTCAATTAAAAAACATTAGTATGAACAATCTTTTATGTCGAAAATAAGTATTTTTTATGTCGAAAACAAGTGTTTTCCATTAGAATAATTATAGGTGATTATTCCACAACGACTGCTACTGCTGCCACTGCTTTTGAATTGCTAGATCATCTGCTCTGTGAAGCCAGTGGAATTCATATTTGTGCAATATGTACAACTGTCGGTTTAACCTCTAACCCTTAGGCCTGTAATCCAGTTGGATAGCAGCTGATTTCAACAGCTGTAAGGCCACGTGTGGCATGGTCTGCACTTTTCCACTGTACTGACTGAGAAATTAATTCTTTAAACTATTTTTGCTACAAACATCTTGAGTCTCTTTGTATTTTTTTTACATAACCCAAGACTACCTTTGAATCCGTCCCAAAATGATGTGATATGTCTTTATAGCCCATTGCAGTCTCAACAAGTTTAGAAACCGTTGCTGAAATTGTTGCAGCTTGTACTCCCAGACTAGGTATAGATACAAGCTTCCATGGATCAACTCCGGCCTTAGGAATTTCAATGAGTGTCAAATCAATTGCACGACAGGCGGCAACTCGGCATGTAAGCTACGCCAACGATAAATTAACTAAATCGATAAGGTTTTCTAAATAAGTACAAACATAACAAGGTTCCCTAGTAATTTCTCAAACGTTACCTACCTCGTTGGCAGCATAAATGATACTTGGGCAGCGAAGATTGATGAAAAATTATCTGCAGTGAAACCCTTGTAACACTCCTAGTTAACACGATCCTCATACAGAGCACAGAGCACACACAACACCATAAATTGCCATGAGATAAATAAACGAA